CGCCAGATTTATAAACTACAGAAGTCGATTTACGTACATATGGCAAAAAATCTGGAGTAAAACCCGAAATTACGGCCGCGTAGCGGCGGCGCTCGGCTAGTATTATACGATCTTAGTAATGCATGGTGAGGTAGTGTTTTGGCCACGGCATCTGTGGGTGTCCGCCACCATCACCACTGCTACTGGATCTCCATCTTTAGCTCTATGCAGCCGTCTATCATCTAGCGCTCTGTGCGTTGTGTCACTGGGCTCGAAACCTTCGTCTGGTCTTGAGCAATTGCCCGACAAGAGCTCAACAACACGTCGCGTCGTGCTGTTCGACGCCAACGTAGTGGCGAGCGGAGACTTCGAGGCGCTCGACTCGCCACAGCTTCTGCGGCAGCTTGGGGGGAGACTCTCTTGTAGCCACAAGGGTGGAGTGACAGCAGCTAGTGGAATCCCTGGGCTCTTGGAGGCCGTGGGATACTTTGCGCTCATAGTGCCCTCTGCGGCTCTGCTGGCCGTTGCAACCGCCATCCAGCATGTTGTACAGGACATGCAGATTCCATCGTGGCTTTTTGTTGCTGATGGGACGAGATTGGCGGTAGGAAGAGCTGAATTCGATTGCAAGAAGTGGCGGGGCCTAATTGAGAGCAAATGATCTCTTTACTTACAGGAGCTGTCGACATTTCTAGCGGTGTTGTCCCAGCAACTGCACAATGCAGCGACTGTACCCAAACGATTGATGCATTTTTGTCTTGCAAGCCAGCAGAGAAGACTATCGCACCGAGAAAGTAGGTTGTGGCGGGAAGCTTTGGTAGCTGTCCCACCTGACTAACGCTAAGTCTTGCACAGAAGTGGAGCTACTGCAGATTGCCGACTGGGTATTCTTCATCCTACTTGACATGACACTTGGACGATTAGCGCTGGCTTACATCGGCGGCATCGTTGCAGGAGACTTTCAAGCCATGAGCATGTACGGACTCTTCAGCACTGACCTGTTGCTGTCCTCAGCACTCATGTTGTTGTTCTCTGTTCCTGCTGGTTAGCTCTCCTATTGCAGTTGTGGATTTCTTGCGTGGGAACGTGGAGTGGCTGATGGGCGCACCCGCGGGCTTCAAGCTGAATAAGCCTTTGGCTTCAATCCTGGGCAACGGCATCCTCTTGTGGCTGAATCTTTGGAGCTTCGCGTTTGAAGAACTCTCGGTTATAGCAAGTAAGATCAGTCTTGGATGGTGGCTCTTTTTAGCGGGAAGATATATGGGTGTGACGCTGCAGTTGACACTGATGATAGACTTCGTGAAGCTCACGACATGGCATTCGCATTGGGTTTATTTTTATTTTGCCAAGCTGAACCGCCTGCAGTTCGGACTCTTCTCTTCGCTATCGAAGCTTTTCTTGGGTAAAAAGATCAATGTGCTTCGTCACCGCGTAGACACGTGCGAGTACGATGTCGGGCAGCTACTGCTGGGCACGCTGCTGTTTACAATTTTGGCTTTCCTCGTGACTACCAATCTGGTCTTCTTTGTGTTCTTCGCCGGGGTGCGTGGCAGTATCGTACTGATATCATTGATGCTTTGGCTGCCCGTTGTGGTGCTGAACTCGCTACCGCTGGCGTCTCTTGTGTATCGGGTGTGGAACTCGCGTTTCTTCATCACGGCGATGGAGCTAGACATTTGCCAGGACCCCGAAGACACGAGTGCAGTCTTAGAAAAGGTGGGAGTGGGTCGTAAATTGCAGCAACTGGACGCACAGCATCGAAGTACATTTCGACAAGCACTCGCGTCGTGGGAAAACACCAATGAAGCCAACGACAAGAGCGCTGTCTTCGAGCTGGTACCCGTTGCTTCCAGCTTCTCAGCGCAGTTTACAAGGTACGAGTGCGATCACTTTCAAATTCGGGCTACTCTCATGTCTAAAAGCGTGCATTTTTTTAATTGTAGACTGCGTGCATACCTCGAGGCTGTGGGTGCTCGGTACTCGCTGACTGTCATTGTGAAAGCCTGTCTATTTGGAAGCGCTGAGATTGCACGAGTTCCGTTGAGCATTCTGTTTGGCCTCGGTTAGTCGGGATGACTCACCATTGGAGGTAACGCCTGACGCGGCGCAGGGCCTCGTTTCCGAGACCTTCATAGGTGCAGTGGTCGCGGGATTCGCTGCGCGTCACGATCGGGGCCAATCTCCATTTTGAAGTGACGTGTCGACGTGTCCAGACGAGCCGATCCTGTTCCACCACCAAACGATAACATCGTTTGAAGCGAAATGTATTGATAGAGATTTTCTAAAACTGGCTATTGATGCAGAGGTTGTTTGCCATGAATTAGTACTACGTAGTAACTAGAAATCACGCAATCGTAAAAAAAATAAGACCACAGGAAAATGTTGTCTCCTTAAGAAACTCGCGGTAGTATTAATACACTCCGCGCCACATTAGATCACGCACCCACGTCGGTGGCTGTAGCTCACTCAATTTTTAGAGTTTGGGCGTGCTATTTAGATATGTTGCTCCTATTATCGCACAGAATAGGCTACACGTGCTAATAACGATTGCGATTTTGCAGTTTACACCAGGGCTCCAATACAAACAATCGATTTTGGCACTGCGACACAATAATCACGCACGCCTTAGTACACTGAACTCAAGTACTAAGAATCGTAATGATAGTGTCAAGTGTACATGAACGTATCAGCATTGTATGGGGTGGGAGGTGGTTGACCGCACCTCCGCCGCTCTAGATCACTAATTAACCTTCAAAGCCAGCCAGGACACCTCTCATTACTTTCTATTAGCATTTAGCTCCGTGCTGGCGGTTTTTTTACGAAGCAGACTGTTGAGCCCGGCACTGGAGCCATCACCAAGGGGATGCGACAGGCAATCCCCGTATGGGCTGGATAGTACCGGGTGAGACATATTGATATTAAGTG